TATAATAAAAAATATATATTATATTTATTTTTGCTATTTTATAATTTAAATATTATAGTATAATTTCTTTTTTTTGACTTCATTTACTAATTAATTTATTTGAAAATATTATACAAAAAAAGCATACATTTTTATTAAAAACAAAATAAAAAAAAATAACAAAATAATTTTTTTTTTTTTTTTTTTTTTTTAATAACAAAAATAAGAAAAAAAAAAAAAAAAAAAATATATATATATATATATTAAGTATAAATTTTATATTAATATATACCATTTTATTTAGAAATAAAAAAATTCAGACATTATCATTTAATTAATTATTCTTATTATCTACAACAATAATTGGAAATTACTAAATAGCTGTTTATTATTTTAATTATTATATATTTTCAATTTATGAATATTATTATAGAAGCGCATTACTATCTAACCCATATTCTTTTTTAATAGATAATTATTATACCATCGGGTTAAAAAAAAGGTTATTTTTTTATATTTAGGAAAGTAAGAATAAATCTTCACTTTAAAGTTTTTGCAATTATTATTATTTTTATTTTTTTTTAGCCTCTCTATCTGTTCTTTAGCAAGGCGCAAAAGGATGGGATCTTGCTTTATGTCCTCCTAACTATTACCTTGTAGCGAATTATTTACTACATACAAAACATGAATAAGATTTAGATTATTTAGGTTCACTTGTTTAAATATTATTATTAATAATATCTGGATTTGCCTCAATTTTAATTTTACTCTCTTCTAATGATTATTAATTTGTAATATCCTAAGCCTCAGTTTTAATGTTATTAATTTCAGGACAATCTAAAATTTTGCTAATATTATTAGTTTCAGCGCTTTCAATAATTTCCTTTTATTAATTTTTATCATTCGAAACATCCTATTGTATCCCGCCATTTTTAATGCTCTAACTATCTTCGATTGCAGATTTGAGTTTTTATAAGGAAGTTTTATATTTTTTTGGTTTATTTTTCTTCAATATATTATTAATGTTTAATTTAGGGTCAGATATTTGCTACTTTAACGTCTCTATTTATTAAGCTAAAGTTAATTTGTATTATTCTTGTTAGTGAAGTAATTAGTTTATATTATTAATTTATGTCATATAATAGTTTATTAATGCATCTGCTTCGTATTACATTTATTATAATTCTTGTATTCGGTTTATTATTTAGATATTATTTTTTATCTAATTCTCGAATTCGGTTTAGGGAAGATTTTGGGAAGTTTATTAACTAGGTTAAGACGGGGGTTATTATGGAGTTGTTTGTGGTTATTATTATATTTCTTACATATTTTGTTTTAATTTTTTTGTTTTTTTTTTTTTATATTTTCTCTATTTTTTTTTATTTTATTTTTTTCTCTTTTAATTTTTTTTTTTTTTTTTTTTTTTTTTTTTTTTTTTTCGTTGTTTTTTTTTTTTTATTTTTTTTTATTAAAATTAAGTATATCATATTTTTTTATGTATTTTATACAAAATCAAATCTAAATTTGTATTTTTTTTAGTAAAATCCTAATTTTTACTATATAATTTTAATTTTTTTTTTGTATAAAAATTAAAATTTATCAAAAATATAAAATATAATAAGTTATATAAAATTATAAATAGCATTTATCTATAAAAATTATGCTAATTATTTATAAACTCTATTGTTTCATATTTTCTTTTTTTTAAAAAAAAATAGTATAATTATATATTTAGAAATATTTCAAATATTATTTTTAAATATCTAATGTTTTTTTTTAAAAAAAAAAAAAAATTTTTTGTCATTATTAAATTATAATTAATTATAATTTATTTAAAATATAATAAAAAATTATAAAAATGAGTGGTTTTTAACCTTTTTTATAATCATTTATAAATATTTTTAAAAAATTTAGATTTATTATAATTCGTTATAAAAAAATATGATTAAGTTTATAAAAAATTTATAATATTTAAAAATATTATTTTTATAAAGATATTTAATATTAATTTTATTAAAATATTGTTTCATTATTTATATTATTCAGTTAGTAAATAAGTTTATTTGAAATTAAGTCTTTTTTATAAATATAATATTTCTAATTATCCTTTCCGATTTTTTAAAAATAAATTAATAAATCTAATAAAAATGTTATTTTATTTTAAATTTGTCAATTTTTTTACTTATTTAAATAATTTTTTCGGATAAAAAGTTTACTAAAAATAAAACAATTTATAAACTTTATGTTTTTTCATTAAATTATATATATATATATTTATTAAATAATTAATTTTTTATTTAAAAAATATTCTAACATAATATAAATTTTTTCTTTTTATACTTTAGTGTATAATTATTACTTTTTTTATTTTTATTTATTTTAGATAAAAACTCACTTTATATCTCCACATATTTTCTTATATTCCTTTTCAAGTTTTTTTTAGTATTTTTCTATTTTTCTTTAATAAGCTTCCTATAATTTTTTAATGCCATCACAATGTACATCATTTACTATATAATCTTTAGAATTCTAACTCTAGTATTATCCTTTGTAACTAGGAACTTAATAAATGTAAGACTTTTTAATTATATTTTTGATAAATAATATATTAATTTAAAATATAAAATTATATATTTACTGCTGGTTTCGATGACTATTCTACTTTAGGAATTTATTCAACCAAATAGTTAAATTTATAATTAGTATCATTAAATTTAGCCAATCTAGGAAAAGGACTTTAGTCTTTCGGTTTTTCAGATTTAATTTTGTCAACTTTTTAAAAAAAATGATAATCTTCTTTTGCTCTTGAATTTCCTTATAATTTAATCCCATCAATTATTGTCTTAAAATTATTCTAAGGAATTTTACCACCCATTTTAGCTTCCCAATCAACATAATTATGCTAAAAAAATATATAACAAAAAATATCATATATATATATATAAACTTTATAAGTAGATTTTCCAAAAAATGGCAAAGAAGTAACTTTTTATAATTTATTTTGAAAAACATAATCAGAACTAGATGGAGATTTATAATCGTTCTTTTTAATATTTTTTATTTAAAATAAAAATATATATAAATTAAAATAAATATAAATAATTTATAAATAAATATATTTATATATATATATATATATTTTATATATTTTTTTTTATTTTTATACATATATATATATGTATATTTCAATTTTTTTATATAACTTTTTTCAATAAATTATTTAAAAAAAAACAACTATGAAATAATGTAATATTGTTTTTTTTTTATGATTTAATATTTTAAAATTAAATTAATAAAAAAATTAGATGTTTTTTATAATAATATATGTATATATAATACTTTTTAAGTTGAAATATATTCTTAAGTTTATTCATTTTACGGTATATAGGATTTTCTGACAACTTTTAAATTATTTTACTCAAAAAAATTCGAATCTTAAAGTTTACATTAATTATAACTCCTTTGATAAAGCGATGCCCATTTAACATCTAAATAATTAGGCCTTCTTATTTACTATATACATTTATTCATACATTTTCCACATCTACATTATCCACAGGCACAATTTCCTGCCAAATGTTCATAATATTCTTGATTTTCTTCCATTATAGACTCTAATTTAATTTTATGACTGTTCAATTTAGAATTTAATTAAGATTTTAAAGTCTATTGAAAAATATCTTCTGGATTTTTTTCTGATATATTTATTTAACTATCTTCTTCAATTTTATCTTCTTCTGATTTTTCTTCGTTTTCTAATTATGAAATAACAGAATCTGTATCTTCGTATGATTTATTATTTTGATAAAAAGTAGAACTAACTAAAGAACTTTTCTCATTTTATAAATGATCTTATAATAATTTTTATTTCTATTCGTCAACTTAACCGTCTTATTTTTATATTAAAGGAATTATTTTTTCCATTTCTTGTAATTAATTTATCTTTTATTTTAATTTTTCTAGTCGCTTTAATTTCTTTAATTTCCTTTCTATTTTTTTTTTCTTTTTCTTTTAAATTTTCTCCTTAGATTTCTTTTTAGATATTTATTTAATCTTGTTTTTCTTCTTCTTTTTTTTATTTTCTTAATTTTTTTTTATTGCTAATAATCTTAATTATATACAGATTTAAAAATATCATCAAGGGCGGGAATATTAGACTATTATAAAACCAATATGTCCTTTTTTCCTTAATTTTCAATTATTTTTCCATTTTTATCTTTCATATAAAAAACTTTCTTAAAATTCAGCTTTTCATTTTCAATATGTTTATCTTAATTACTTTTTTAATTGAAAAAAGTGTTTTTGGAATGTGTGGATACTTATAATAAATTATTTTTAAATTCATCTAATTTTTTTTTTTATGAATTTTCGTTTTATTATTAATTTTTTGTTGTTGACAATAAAGTAGATTAGGTTCGTTATAATTAAGTTTTTCCTTTATATTGGTTTTTTATTATGGGGTTGTATTATTGAATTTTTTAAATTTTCTTGTCTTTTTAATAATAATTTCTTAACTTCGTTTTTTATATTTAAACCTTTTTTCATGCGTTTTTTTTTTTTTTTTAATTATTTTATAAATAAATATATAATAAATTTTTATTATATTTTTATTAATTTTTATTTTTTTTTACGATAAAATAATATATTTAATTTTATTATAAATAAAACTGAAAAAAAAAAAATATAATATAATAATATGTTTATTTTTATTTATTAGATTTTCTTGTTTTTTCATAAGTATTTTCTTTTTATTTTCTAAAAAATAAAAATATATAATTAAAAAAATTATATTTTTTTTATATTTTTATAAAAAAAAAATATAAACGAATTTTTATTTTTTATATATATTATTTTATATTATTCTATTTAAATATTTTTAGAAGAAAAAAAAAAAAATATCAAAAAATTTAAATTATAAATATTTAAATTAAAGTTTCTATTATTTAAAATAACTTTTTTTTTTTGTTAAACTAGTAATTAAATATACAATGATAATTAAAAAAAATATATATATAAATTTTTCATTCTGAAACAATCATCAATCTCATAGATTCGAAAAAGTTAATTATATCAGATTATATTTCTGGCTTATAGTTAAGATCTTAAACCGTTAAAACAATTAATTCTTTAAAATTATCGAAATCTTTATTACTAAAATCCATTTTTTAATGAAAATCTCTCACATTTTCACCATTATATCTAAATAAAAAAAATTAAAAAAATATTAAAAATAATTATAACAAAAAAATACTTTTTTCCATGTCCACCCATCCCCATCCCAAGAAATTCTTTAAAATGAATTTTCAATTTTTTAAGATCAACATTAATAAAATAATGTTTAATTTTTTTTTCAGCCATAACCCTTGTAAAGAATGTTTCTGTAAATATATTCAACTATTCTTCTCCACCCATTTTTTCGAATAAAGAAGGTGATTTTCCTCCCATTACTTCTATTTTAATAGTTTCTAACAAATTAATGAATTCCAAAATAGCTTATTTATTTTTACATTCAGCCTCCAAGCATTCTTTTAATAAGTTTTTATAAACTTCAAATTAGAGATATGTTATATAAAATTTTTAATGTGCGTCCTTTACATTTTTTCCATTATATCTATAAACATAAATATATATATATATATTTATATATATATATATTATATTATATATTATAATAAAAATCCTACTAATAAGGTCCTCCAGTAATCATAGTATAGAAATCGCACATTTTTTAAGCCAATTACTACCTATTAACACTTTTAAAAAAATCTTTTATTTTTTCATTTTCTGGAATTTTTTAATTATATAGCATGTTCATAGAATTTTAGAAAACAGCATTTCCTCCCAACCTATCAAAAAGTGTATTATTCTTTTTCGGTATTTCACTTCTTAAACATTCTAAAAGTCTTCCGATTTCATTCGCAGAACTTACATCTGTTCCATTATCTTTAAATGCTTATTAAATTTATAAAATACAATAAGAAAATAATTTATCATGTATATGGTATGGAGTATGTACTGTTTTCAATTATTTTCCGGTATATCTATTTTATACATTAAATAAATAATATTTATTCTATTAAAATTATTAATTATAAATAATATATATAAATTTATATATATTTTTTATTTAAAATTCAATAAAAAAATAAATTATAGAAACGTAAAATGGATAATGCAAATTTTTTAATTGAAAAAAAATTATAAATATAAGATATACTTAAAAAAAAAAAAATATACATATATAAATATATTTATATAATAAATATTAATATATATAATTAATTTACTAATTATCACTTACTTTTATTATCCTCCAAATGACAATGCTAAATATTAAACGTAATTCTCTTTAGTTTGTTCCATATCAGTTTTATTAAAATATTGCTTTATTTCGTTTATACTTAATATTTTATCAAAATAACTATTTACAGCTTTTTTTATACTTTATTCACCTCCTACCCTTATAAATAAAGAATTTTTCGGTATTTAAACTATTTAGGATCTTAAAGGTTCTATATAGCATAATGTTTCTTAAATTACAGAATGATTAATATTTTATTCTTTTAAAATTTTTTTAAAATAATCAATAAATTTATTAAAATGATCATCATTTAATTATAAATTTTAATGAGCTTCTTTCATATTTTTACCAATATATCTATTTTTTTTTATTTTTATGAATTGATTTTAATTTATATTATTACTATTCTGTTCCTCCAAAATAAGTTATTAAAAAAGAATTCAAAATTAATCTATGTTAATTTTAGCTAACATTATTTTTAAAAAAATTCTTAAATAAAGGATCTTTAAATAATTAAGTAACTAAATTTTCTGATATTTCTTATATTTTTAATACTCCACCTAATCTATCAAATAGTGTTTAACTATTTTATTAAAAATTTTTTGTTTATTTTTTCTTAGTGCTTTAATTATTATTATTATTATTATTGGTGTCGGCTTTATTTTGTTATTTAAAAATTTTTTATTTTTTTAATTAATAATTTTTTTTTAGAACATTTTTAATTTTTCTAATATTTTGAAAAAGTATCGATTTCTGGATAACTTTTAGCATTATTTTAATATGGACAGCCGGAAATAATAGGTAAATTAGCATAATTATCATTATCATTTTATTAAAAAATTTCAACTAATCTACATATTTCAATTGGGTTTACACAAATAGAAATATCATTTATACTCATATGTCGAAGAATTAAATTTTAATCAATAATAAATGTAGATCGAAAGCTCGAACCTAAAAAAACGTTAATAATTATATATTTAAACATATATTAATAAATTTAATATATAAAAATAAATTTTAATATTTATATATATATATAAATATATATAAATATATATATATATATATATATATATATATTTATATTTATATATAATTTTTTTTTTTATATACCTTATTCTTCTTAATTACCATCTTCAATAATAACGCCATAACAAGTTGAAATATATTTATCGAAATCTGATAATAAAGGAAAATTTAATTCTCCCAAGCCATTATCATCTATTGATTTTTAGCAATAATTCATATGAACAAATTAACTGTCGGATGAACAACCAATTATTTGGCAATTTATTTATTAAAATTTATGATATTAATTTTAAAATTCAAGAATAAATTCTCGACATATTTATTAAGTAACAGAAGGAAAAAAAAACAATACAATATACTTATCTTTAAAGTCTTTTAAACTAATCTTTTAAAATTAATTTTAATAGCTTATTCCTGTAAAATTTGGGGCAGGCCTGCGTATAAATGTATATGGACTATCATATTAACTCTAAAAACTTGATTTTTTTCTGTTTATTTAACTAATTGCTATATAATATGTATATATATATATATATATATATATATATATATATATGTATATATATATTTTATAAAATTTTTTTTTTATATTTACATTATGCAGTTTTGGAATTGTTTTCTTTTTAATCTGGCTCTGTATTTATTGTAAATTTCGAATCTTCCTTAATATGTTAATTAATATTTTATTATTTTTGACAATTACCCATTTATATTAATAAATTAAAAAATTTATAATAAATATTTTATTTAATTTTTTTATATTTAAAATTAATATAAATATAGTAAAATATTTAAATTATTAATTATAAAAATATAAATAATTAAATTATTTAATATTTTATATAAAATATATTTTAATATAAATAAATAATTTGTAAATAATATATATTTTTTTATTTAAAATTATAAATATTTAATAATTTTGATACAAAAAATATATAATATTAATGACTTTTTTTATTATAATTTCATTAAATAATGCCTTATTCAAAATATGCTTTGTATTTATTTGCTTCCTCTTACATTTCTTCTTAACCTCTCGGTTGCCTTGCTATATTTGAATATTTTTTAATTAAAAATAATTAATATATATATATAAATTTATTTATTTATATATTTATTTTTTTAACTTAAATTATATAAATACTTTTCATCATCATTTAAAAATAATTAATTATTATTTGGGTTTTTAGGAATAATATTTATATGTGCATGTTCTATTTATTATCCTTTAAAGACATAAATAATAAAATTTACAATAATTTATTTAATTATATTAACCTGCATTTTATCCGTCTGCAACAATAACAAAACATTAAGTTTTATGAATTTATTCTAAAACTTTTGTTACTTATTGAACAGTTGTCCAAATGTCAAGTGTTTCTATTTCTGTTAATTCATATAATCTTTTAGTCTATCTTCTTGGTATTATTAATATATGCCCTTCTAAAACTGGTTTTGAATGAACTGCTGCATATACATTCTTTCTTTAAATAAAAATTTACTAAGAAGGAATCTAATACTTTCCAAATTATGATGCTTAATTTGTTAAAACAGTATTATTCATTGTTATGAATATTTTTTTTATTTTAAATAAATATATAATAAAAGAATTAAATAGAAAAAGAAAAAATTAAATTTAAAATAATAAATGATATATTTTTATAATATTAAAATGAATTTAGTATTATTATTTAAATAATATAGTAATATTTATAATTCTTTTAATATTATTAATATTTTTTATTTATATTAAAATATAATATATATATAGATTTTTTTTTATAATTATATATTTTTTCATTTTTGAAATTAATGTTTTTTCTATATATATAAAATAATTATTATGAAATTATATATTATAAATTATTTGAATCAAATTAGCTAAAATATTATTAAATAATAATTAAATAAATAATTAAGTATGATTAAAAAATAATTATTAAAAATTATATAAAATATATATAGTAAAAAATACCTATAATATATATGTATATATCTAAAATGTAAATATATATATATATATATATATATATATATATATATATATATATATTATTTATTAATTAATAATAATAATAAATAAATAAATAAAGTAAAAATAAAAGTAAAATTAAATAATAATAGTATATATTATATATATATATATATATATTAATTATAATATAGTTATTAATTATTTACTTTATTATTATTATTTATTTTATTTAATTAATAATAATATATATATATTTAGTTTATTTAATTAATTATTTATTTTATTTTACTTTTATTTAAATTAATAATTTAGTTTACTTATATATAATAATAATATATATATATATATATAATATATANATATATAATAAATAATAATAAATAATAATAATAATAATAATATATAATAAATAATAATAATAATAATAATATATATAATAAATAATAATATATATATATATATATATACTATATATATATATATATATATATATATATATATATATATATATATATTTATTTATTTTTGTAATTATGTATATTTAATTAACTTATTATTAATTTTAATATCTTAATTTTTTCTTAAATATAAATTATTTATGTCAGTTTTTATTTCAATGTTTGCGTTTATTTATTTTTATGTATAAAAATAAATTATATATTTTTTATTAATATATAAAATTTATATAATTTTTTTATTTAACTGAAAAAATGTTTTCTATAAAGGAATTTTTTTTTATTTTATTTTAAAATAGAGAATTATTTTAATTTTATTTTATTTTAATATTAAAATCTATTTTTAAAAATTTGAATTCAATTATTATATTTATTTAACATTTTTATAAATAAAGAAAATCACTTTATATATTTTTTTTTTTAAAAAAAAAAAATAATATAAAAAATTATTTTTTAATTTAATATTATTATAAATACTTATTTTATTTAATTTATAAACACACATTTTATAAAATATTAATAATATTTTCTTTAATTATCATATTAATTACACTAACATTTATAAAAAAAAATTGTGTTTAATAATTATATATATTTTTTTTTTAAATAAAAAAATTATTAAAAATTATTAAATTGAATTTATAATAATAAATATAAATTAAGCCTAATGAATATATGACTATAAAATTTATATCTTTATATAGTATATATTTAATAAAATAAATAGTTACAATTAATATTTAAATAACATAACAGAATTAAGTTTTTTGTAATTTAGAAATTATATTAAAAAAAAATAAAAACCAAAAAAACAATATAATTAAAAAAAAAATATTTTTTAAATAAAAATATAAATGTAAATATTATTTTTTCTATTGAAAAAAAGAAAAAAAACTAATTTCATAAAAAAAAAAACTATAAATAATTTTTAAACAAAAAAAAAAGTAAAAGAAATATACTTAAAAAATATAATTACTCTAAATATACAAATATGAGTGGAGTATTTTAATAAAAAACTATATTTGACATTACAGAAGCCGAAACTCCTTCTTTGAATACAAACGCAATAAAAGTCTAAATGGAATCCTTCATTAAAAGAAGAAAATTAAAAGACCACCAATCTAAAAGTTCTAAATTTTCTATGATTCATTAGCAAAATATTATTAGTTCACCTAAAAATATATTCGGACATTAGTAAAGACTATCAAATGAATCATTTAGTATATTAAAAATTTTAAAAATTATAAAATAAAATAAAAAAAAATAGTGTCAGACTTTTACCATGATAGTAAAAAAATATACTTTCAAATTTTATATATTATATTTGATATATATAAGGCGATAGTGGAACAAGTTCTTTTATAAAAACGGAAGTTTTAATAGTAATTTATGTAATTCATTTAGTTCTAAAAGTGGTAAAAAATTAAATATAACTATATATATAAATATATATATTTTTTATATTATATTTATAAAAATTCATTTTTATTATATAAATATATTAATATATTTCTACATTAATATTTTTTTATATATTCATATATGTAACTATTTTATAAAATAGAAAAAATGCTTTCTGAAATAAATTTAAGCCCCTAAATATCTAAATTTTCAGATAATAATAATATGGATAGAATATCGAATTCTACTACATAATCTCAATAATCTTTATTAATTGAAAAAGATTAATTATCTATTTCTTTATAATAAATTAGTAATTTAATTGGTACATAAATTTTTATTTTAAATTATATGATTTTTCTTTCTTTTTTATTTATATATATTATAGAATTAGATGTTGATATATTAAATAGTTAAATGAAAATATTTTTATAATAAATGGTTTAAAGAAGTAATAATATAAATAAATTTTACTAAAACTTACTTTTTTTTTTCCAAAACGATTCCGAATTTATTCCTTTCTTTACAGATTCTTTTTCTCATTAATAAGATTAATTTATTTAGAGTAATAATTCTTTCCTAAATCATACATAATTGTCTAATACTAACATTTTTAACCTCTCTACGAATTTGAATAATAATATATTTTTTAATTCAATACATTGTAATAATAATTATACAGAAAATATGATGTTCAATGAGTAATAAGATAATGAATTCTAAATTTTTTCAGGTAATTATTCTTATATGGGATTAAATGTCGTTACTGCCTTATCTTCTATAGTTTTTAAAATTAAACCAAGAAACTTTAGGATTAGTATTATATTAACTTTCGATTATTATATGACTCCTTTAACTTTTTTATTATTTATTATGAGATGTGTAATATCATATATATAATTAAAAAAATAAAAAAATATAATATAATAATAGTATTATATTCCGTTTCCTTTAGGAATGACAGAAAGTGAAAAAGATGAGTTTTTGAAAAGAAAAGAGGAAATAAGTGTAAATATATGGTAAATAATAAGAGATTACATAGAACTTAGAGGAAACGAATTTCTATAAAATAATTTAACAAGCCTTTTATTATTAAATTTTTTTAAATAAGTTTCCACAAGTAATTCTAAAAATAAGGGAATTCGATAATATGATGCTCTACTCGAAAAAGTTAAAATAAAATACACTTAATATGAAATAAGTAAATTTTCAAATAAGAAAAATGAAAGTTCATCTCAAAAAGAAGAAGAATAATTAAATACTAAAAGCATTTAAAGAAAAAAACTAGATATGCTTATTTTAGAACCTAAAAGCATACTTTTATATGAAGATTCGGTTATTATTGAAATTTTAACTAATATCGAATGTAAATACTTTATTAGATTAAACCTTACTAATTTATTATAAACAAAAAAAACAATAAAACAAAAGAACACTTTTGTATAAAAATACTCTAATAGATTTAATTATATAGTTTATTGGTTAGTAAACCAAGTAATTTAATAAAAGCAAATGGATCTAAGAACAAGTTATATAATAAAATACTTAGATTTGATACGAATATGCCATGAAAAATTAAATTTTGCAACTCTTCATGTTATATAAACTGCGGTTTCCAAAATAAAAATATTTGTCCCAAATACATGGAAAAATTAGAAAAAGAAATATTGAGTAAAGAATAGTCTTTTTGTAAATTAGAACTTAAATTTTATGATTATGTTTTTAATGATAAATATGATGGATATCAAAAAGAAGTTGCCAAACTTCAAAATTAAAGAATATATAGTTATATCCCTTGTATAAATCCTTACTTATAAGATATTAATATATATGAAAATAAACTTTAATAATACCAAAAAAAAAATAACTCATAAAATTAGAACGTTGTTTTAAACAATATAAATTCACCTACTAAATAATACCAATAATAATAATAGTCTATTTTACCATGGGTTATATATGAAAAAATAAGTGAATGCTTATATAAATTATATTTAGTATAAAAAGGATGTGAAAAATAATATACCAATGTTAATATTGTTAAAGATTATAAAGATTTTAACAATGATAAACTATAAATCTATACTTTATTTAAAAAAAAATGTTTTTTAGATATTAATTAATTACTTAATGTAAGCAATATCAATATTAATTAAATAGAACATCATTTTTTAGATTAAGCTAGGTTAATTGATTTTTGAAAAAAATTTTTCATTTTAAGTTTTTCCAAAAATAAAATACTTTTTATTATATATTAGGTAGAGTTTTATTATAATAAAATTTGCTTGAATAGATATATAAAAATAAGTTTAAAATTAAATAAATTCATATTAATCAAATTTTCGAAATTAAATAAAATATTTAATATAATATATAAAGTATTATAAATTATATAAAAGTATAAATGTATATATATTGTTGTTTTTTAATCTTACTTTATATAAATATTAATTTTTCTTTAATAATATTTTATTTTATATGTTAAAATTATTATTATATATTTATTTTTTAAAAATTATTAATTAATATAATTTTTCTTATTTTTTAATTTATATATAATATAATTTCTTACATATATTATATATTAAAAAACATATAATAATAGTTTAATTTGATAGTTAAACTTAAAATGATAACTAAAAAAAATTATATTTAGTTTCATTTTATTTATTATATATTTAAATTAATAAATATCCTGATATTATAAATAAATAATTTTTTTTTAATAAACATAAAATTAAGTTAAGCAAAAAAAAAAAAGGATATAAATATTTTATATAATATATAAATTTAAATAGTAAAATTTTTTATTTATGTAATATATATTTTTTTTAAAAAAATATTATATATTATGTATAATCATTAATTAATTTTTAAAAAATAAGATATTCAATAAATAAAATTTTTTAATTCTATCTCAATATTAAAAAAATAAATAATTATATATGTATGAAATAAAATAAAAATATAAGCATTCAACTAATAATTTCATTTTCGAATTTTTTTTAATTTTTCTTGAGATAATTTTGTGTTTTTTTAAACAATTTTTCTTACATAAATTTCCAATCAAAAAACTATTATTTTTATTCATCTGTATAATTATCTTAAATAGTTTTTATGAACTAATTTCTATTAGCAATACACAAAATATTAATAAAATGTAATATATTTTTGCACTAATTTTTCAGACTAGCAAACTAGCTTAAAGACCCCAATAAAGCAATAATAATAATTTTCACTTTTTATTAATTTGCTTCAAACCATTGACATTATTCTATTATCAACTACTCATGTTCCGGCTAAAGTACATGGAAAGTTATGATAACATATTATTTAAATTCCATTTACTATTATTTATAAATCGAAAAGAAATCAAATAAAGACAAAGCTTAAACATCATTAGGTTAAGCATTATTCATCTAAGCTAATTTTTCCCATAAAACTATTGCATGTTTAAGATATTCTTTAAAAATACCCTTTGATTTTTTATAAGTAAATTCTTCAGTCAATCTCACAAAAGTGGTATGAATATCTCTTTTCATAACATCACTTTTAGGAAAAACCATACATTTTTAAAAAGACAAATCTTCAGTTAAAGAATAGCCCTGTTTATTTTTTATTTTTTAAAAAAACATATATAAATATATAGATTACTTCTTTTTTATTATTAATATTCATAATACTATGTTCAAAAGACTCTACTACATCTCCATCAAAAACAATTGATTTTTTTATAGTCTTTTTGTACATTCCAATTTATTTTGCTTTAGCTTTCAAATGCTAAACAATAAATTAAACTGAAACCATATTATTTCTACTTCCAGGGACTATCATATCCGCACAATTCATAGTAGGCTTAATGTATTCATCAAAAGATCTTTTTATAAATCTATTATATTAAAAAAGTACGCCTTCGACATCTCTTCCTCTTTCATTTATATCTCTAACAATTCTTCTACAAAGTCTTATATCATCATCACAGTGCATAAAAATCTTATATTACATCAAATCACATATCCTTGGGTCATATAGGGAAAGAATTCCCTCAAAAAGAATTACGTCAGTAGGCTCTACCTTATCCTTTTATTCTTCAGGGTAATGTGTGCAAAAATTATATCTAGGAATTTCAGTAGGCTAACCATTTAATAGAGCCAATAAACAATTATAAGCTTAGTTAAAATCTAAAGCATCTGGGTGATCAAAATTATAATCTCGAGCATCGGTTTTCGTTTTGTCTACACCCTTATAAAAACAATCTAAGGGAACTATTAGAACATTAAATTCGCCATCATATGTCATCTCTTTTCTTATGTTATTGCATAATGTAGTTTTACCAGCGGCTGACCCACCTGCTACTCCGACTAGAATACGTTTAATTTCTAATGATTCTTTTCTTCCTAAATTTAATGACATTATAATTTAATAGGTTTTTTTTTATATTTATATTTATTTGTATGTATAAATAAAAAAATTTTTTGATATATATATATTTATATATATATATATATATATATATATATTTGGGTAATTAATTTATTTTTAATAAATATTTTTTTTTATTATGTATATATATATTTGTTTATATTTAAATTTATTATATTTTTTATTTAATTTTTTATACTTCAATATATTTTTAATAATAATTTAAAAATTATTATTAAAAATAACTTATAATCATAACTAAATAGACTCAGTAATTTATTTTCTTAACATTAAGCAATAATAGGACCCACTTTTTTTTATTTTTCTTTAATAATTTCCTATTTTTATCCTTACTAAGCTAACTCTTATTATTTCTTAAAAAAACTACTACTAATTAATAATAATCATTAAAGTATAAATCTTCTTAAACCTCTAACTCTATTAATAATTATAATTTCTAAAAGGAAACTGCCTTATATCTTCATTTTAAATAAATTTATTAACAATGTTTTGTAAATATTCAGTGCTTTTTTTATAATTTAAATATGAAATAAAAGTTACATAATTAAATTTATTATGTTCCTTTTCTATATGACATTTAAACGCTCCTTTATTTACATTTATATCTTTTTTTCATTTATTCAATATTCTGCCAACAATTTAAATAACTTATTAGATATCATATTCCCTTTTTTCTTTTTATTCCCTGTTTTAATTAAATTGATCAATAATGACTCCTGAAAGAATTATATAAGAAATCAAAATTATTAAAAAAATTAATATGCGAAATCAGCCAAAATTCTTGAATCAAATTCCCAATTTTCCATATAATCTATTTCGAAAAATTCCCAAATTCCCCATTAGATATAAAAATTAAATCCAATATTATGCAAAAGCATTTAAAAAGAGACTCATATTTATGTTGTCCGTATCTGTATAAAAATTAAAACAATAAAAGAGTGTGAAATAATGAGTCAAAATCACATAAAAAACCATTACCCAATTTTTTTTATTATTTAAAAAGTTTTATTTTAACTTCTTTTTAAGAAAATAATTATTAATTGAGTAAGATATTTTAAAAATACTCTTTAACAATAGAAGCTAAAATTTTTTGATTCATTTAATAATAAATATTAAATATATATTTAAGATAAATTACTTTGAATTTCTAGTAATAATATCATTTAAATTAAAAAAAAAATGATTTTGTTTACTTGAATTTCTTTAATAATTTATAAATTTTATAAAAACAACTAAACAATGTTTTCTTATTTCTTACTAGAAATCTTCAAAATAGATATTTTCATTTCTTTTTTATTAAAAAATTCAACATCAAGAGTATGAATTATTTTTCAAAAAAATCACTATTTATTAATCAATTATATCTAATATTACTTTAATTATTCATTTTTTAAACTTATTTAATTGTTTTCTTATTTTCTAATTTAAAATATGTTTCTTATTAATATAATGGATCAATAATAAATGGATTTTCCTCTACAAACAGGGCTTTAAATATAAATAAACATTATCTATTATTGAATATAAATGCGCTATAATACAATAATTTTAATTGATCATTTATATATTTAATACTTTACAAAGCCTGTTATTAATTTATGCATTAATAATTTCTTCCTAAAAATAATATAGAATATAATTTAAATTATAATTGCAAAAAAAGGCTTATATTTTTCACATATATTTTTAAAAAAATTATTCCAATTATCCATATTTGAAATCTATGATAATATCATATGACTATGTATTGATATATAAAAATAAAATAATACAAATAATGTTTATTTATATATAAATTTTCGATCATTATTAATAATTTAAATTAATTGAAATTAAATAATTTTCAATTTGAAAAATTAAATCAGATAGCTAATTAACATTATTATTAGACATTATGTATTTATTATATAGTGAAATAATATTAAAAAAAAGAATTGACAATATCATATTTATTATTAATATTTAAAATATATTTTTAAAATAAAATAATACACCAATTTATATTTAGAAACAATATATATAAAATTATATATTCTGAAAAGATATTTGACAATATATACATATAATTTTGAAGATAAGACTCTACAATATTAAAGATTATATAAAAAAAATTTGTCATAATTTAAATTGTAAAAAAAAAAAAATTCATTAAAAGAAAATTAATTAAAAATACTTTAGATTTTATATACATATACTTATAAAAAAATTATAATGTACAAAAATAATTTGCTATAAGATTAACAATAATGAAGTAAAAAAGAGTAAATTATAAAAATATTAATAAATATATATGACATAGATTGATAAAAAAATATATATATAATTTTAAAAATTAGATAATATTATTTGAAATATATAAATATATTAATTGTAAATCTTTATAGAAGGATATTTATTAAAAATATAAAAATATAAAAATATAAAAATATAAAAATATATAAATATATAAATATAATAAATATATATATTTATATATATTTTAATTTATGTATTTTTGCATTTTTTTTCTCATATAAAAAATATCACAACATAAATATTTAAGATTAATCTAATATTTAAATTTACATAATAATTATTTACATATTTAAATTAATTTCGAAAACTTTACTTCTTAAAAAATCTTAATTATTTTCATAAAATATATTATTTTATTCTTTATTTTTATGGCTTAAATTACACATTTTTTTTTATTATTAATATGCAAACCTATATTATTTTTATTTTATAATTTATTATTTCTTATTTCGATATAATTTATAATCGCTTTTTAAATAATTGTTTTATAGTTAATTAAAAATGAGATTATTAGAATTTCTAAAAACATTATTAAATTTTATCCTCTAAAACTTATATTTTTATAATTATTATTTTCATATTATAAATCCGTAAAAAATGAGCTTTGAAGAAGATTTTATTTTTTAAAAAAATATATATACAATTTTGTTTATTTTAAAACTTTCTAGAAATTGATATATTTCCCTTTCTATAAAACAATTCAATTATTTAAAATTATTAAATTTAACACATTTCAATTAATAATATTAACGCCTTAAAGCATCATTTGTTTTAAATAAAGTATTTTATAAAGGAAAATCTTATAATTTTAGTATTATATATTTCAAAAATTAATAATATTAAATATCAAATACTTAGCAAAAATAATTTTTTGTTTTTTAATTTTAATTTTTTTTTTAAAAAAAAAAATATTTTAAATTTATTTTAATTTTTTTTTCTTTATCTTTTTTTTGATAAAAATTTATTTGCTGGGAGTATTACTAAAAATAAACTTAAAATCAGCATTATTTGTTGAAAATTATTACATTTTATTAATATTTTATTAGACTATCTGAATATATGAGAAAATCCTTCTTTTTTGTTGACATATATTGATTTTAAAATGACATTATGAATTTATTATTTCTTGAATATTAACATTGTTTTTTATTTTAAAAGTAAGTTAATATTATATAAATATTATTTATTATTCGAAATTCTTTATTATATATATTTTTTTCTAGTTTAAAAAAAATATTATATTTATTTTTTTAAAAAAAAGCTAAAAATAATTTTTTAAAATAAACTTTTTTAAAATAAAAAAAAAAAAAATATATATATATACATATAAATAAATAAGTTTTATAAAAACTAAAGATTTAAAATAAATAAAAAAAAGGAAATATTTAAACAAAAAAAATCATTTAGACATACTCCTTTTATATTTTTATCGTTTAATTTTAAAATCCAAAAAATTAATAATTTCTGTATTATTATAATCCTTAAAATTCTTAATTTATCTACTATCACAAAAAATCATCATTTACATTTCTTTATTAATGTTATTAGTATTATTATAGTTTTTTCTATCAAATAAATTAATAAAATAGCTATCTCCTCCTAAAGCCGATTTAGATAAGTCATTTTCTTCACATTAATATTCCGAATAGGAAAAATATTATTAAACAGGTGAAGTTGTAGTATCGTCTTTTTGTTAAAAACTTGGACAAAAGATTCTTGAATCTTTAATATAGTTTTTATAAAAGTTTTGAGGGTTATTAAATTCATTTGTTTTTTAATTTATCATAAAAGGAATGAATTATTAAGAAACAATTTCATACTAAAGTAGTTTATCCAAATATCGATTTGCTTAGTTATTATTTATTTAAAAAGTAGGTATAGGTAGTATTTATTGCATGTACTTATATATATTTTTAAAAAAAGAATTATTTAATTAATCAATATATAAATTTTCTTAAGAATCGAATATTTAAAGGGATAATAATTAAACAAAACTATAGTTTCTTTCCAAAAAATGCATTAAAATATACTACAATTGATTATTTTTGTTTATAATTAATTCGAAAGTTAAATTAAATAAAAGCTAGTTTATTTTTTTATTTGACATTATATAAACATCTATTAGTATTTCCATAATTTAATCGATTTTAGTAAATTTAGGAAAAACGAAAAAAACCTTATTTAAATTATTCAAAAAAGAGAAAAATAAATATTCCAAATATTTCCTATACCATATTTATAAAGAAAAATCTTCCTAAAAATACAATTTTTCAATCTTTATTTCAAATGTAAAAATTAACATTTTATCAAAAAAATTACCCTATATCTATATAAAATTCAGGTCTTAAATTTGCAAAAATTCAAAATTTTTAAAATAAGAAAAACTTTCTTAATCTGTTAAATTATTTAAAACACCAAAAACAATAAATTTTCCGATTTTATCGATGTTTTCATCTTCAAATAAACTTAAGTCTAAACTTATCTATTGAATATATAATAAGTTACTCTATAAATTTTCCTTTAATGAACAATAGTTTTTTTTATATTTTTACAGGAACTTTTATATAATTCTTTATTAAAATTTCGTTTATTTAATCAATTTTATAATTTAATGAATCATATATATCTAAAGGTTCTTAATTTACTTGAGTATCATAATTTATATATCGAATATCAGATAGATATGTATTTCTATGATTGTTTTTTTCATTTGAATAGCTTTTTTCGCTTGAGTCTAAACATCCGAAACAAAGAATTCCTTTATTATAGTTATTACCCATTTATTATTTTTATTTTTATTTTTATTTTTATTTTATTTTTTTTTTGGATAAAAATAATTATAATATATAATTATTTTTTGTTGGATAAAAATATAATTTTTTTTTTTCAATAATTCATGCTCAATTCATATTTTTTTAATAAAATAAAAAATAAAATATTTTTGATTATTAGATTTTTTTTTTTTTTAATAACTATAAAAATAATAAATAAATAATATTATTTAAAAGTAATTAAAAAAAATAATTTTTAATATTTTTTATTTTTTTTTATTTTTAAAAAAAATTAATGGCCTCTGTTAAATTTTCGAAAATAGGCGAAAGCATATTAAAAAAAATAATTAAAAAAAGCCCGAATAATCTATAAAAATAGAAGAAAAACTCCAAAAATAAATCATCTAAAAGGAACAAAAAACCCAATAGTCTTAAATATAAACAAATTAAAATCAAAAAGAAATATAATAAAAAGATATTATAAATTAACCCAAAAAAATTATTGAAAAATAACCCAAAAAAAGTATTGAAAAATAAACACTAAAAAGTATTGAAAAATAAACGTAAAAAAAATTTGAAAAACAAATATAAAAAAATATTGTAAAATCTTCCCAAAATAATTACTAAACATTAGAAAATAAAGACTAATATAAAAATTAATTTAATCCTTCTAATGAACTTAAAAGGACATTTAATATAAATAATAAAAGCAGTTAAAATTTAACCAATAACTTTTCCTAATTTTTTCATAAAGAAAACTAATCTTAAAAAGATGTTTTCGAATAAAAAAGACAAAGAGAAGAATTACAAAAGCATCTAGAAGAGTAAATATTATTTAAGAAAAAAAAAGAAGAAATATAAAAATAATAATAACAACTTGAAGATCTTTTATTAACAGAGAAAATAAAGTAATAATAAAACAATGAAAAAGTGTCTTTTTATAATAAAAATACAAAAAATGATACAATAAAATCTTTACATAATTAATTTTTATAAAGAAAACAAAAAATCTAAAAAGAAATTAAAAATGAATAAAATGAATTATCAGAAACAGGATTCTAATTGCCAAGAACTCCTCCCCCTAATATTTCATAAAAAATTAATTTCTAATACCAAGAATAAAATATATAGGAAAATAATAAGGAAATTATTATATCTTAATAAAATATAGACCTTAATTATATGAAAGATTATTATGAATTGTAAAATAAGGTTTTTAATAGATAATTACAAAATTTATAAAAAGATGTAAAAAATATAAATATATATTTATTTTTAATAAAAATAATTTAAAATAAATACATAATTATAGGTTTATATATCTCAATATTCGAACGTACCAGACTTTTTATTATAAAATGAGATATAAAATTTTAATTAAAGTCCATATTAATATAAAAGTTCATAAAAAAATACGATTTTAATATGTATTATGAATAAAAAATGAATTAATTTTAGTAAGAAATTTATTAATTTAGTTATTTTAAAGAAAAACCTTAAAATAAATTTGAAAAAATATAAATAGGAAAAAAATACAAAGAAGTAAATTAAAAAGAAAGACCAAAATCATTCCAAGAAAAAAATTCAAAAAATGAAAAATTTCTTTAAAAATGTAAAAGTTAAGATAAAATTGAAATTGACATTAAAGCTTTTTAAGAAACTTTTTTAAAAAATAAAAAAATCAAATTTTTTTAACCAATAAAAAGTACATTGGATAAATATATATGTGATATACTAAGTGAAAATAGTGATTAAGAAAATAATAATAAAAATTTAGATAAATCAATAGACAATATATTAAATGATATAGAAGATATGGTTTCTTAATAAACATAAAATAAAGAAATTAAAAAAAAATGCGAAATTTAATTATATGAAGAAAGCATTCAAAAAGAATGTATTTTTAATTTAAAATAAAATTAATTATAAGAAATAATTAAAAAGGATCTTATTTAAGAAAAAAAGAATATTACAGATAAGTTTTAAAATTAAAATATTATCCTTAATAATTAAGATTATGATTAAATTTTTTAAGAATGCTTAGATAAACTAAATTTTTTAGTTAATCATTATACTGATACTAGTAGATTTATAAAAGTATGATTAAGTTACAAAACAAATTAATAATATAATTTAATATTGTTAATATCTAACAAATACAAATAAATAATAGATTTTAAATTTAATATAAAAATTGTTTAATTATTTATTAAATAAAAAGAAAAAATAATATTAATGTTATTTTTAAAATATGTATGTATATATAAAATAAATAATTTTATTTTTTAAATAAAAAATAAATATATATATATATATAATTAAATATAATTATTTTAAATTTTACTTTTTTTATTAAATAAAAACTAAAAATATCAATTATTATTTATTATAAAATTATTGAGTTATTAATTTTATTATTATTAAAATTTTTAATATATTCATTTAAGTATTAATCATTTATTATTATTATTTTTAATTTTAATTAACGTCAAATTTTTTCCATTTAATTAAGTCTTTCCAAAATCTATTGAAAATCAGGTCTATTATTAGGATTTTATTCCCAGCAATCTTTCATTAGTTAAATTAACTATATTTATTTTATAAATATCCCAAAAAATAAATATAAAAAAAAATACAGCTTCAGGACATTCATGAGGAATTTAATCAAATTAAGGTCTTTTTCCTTCTGTTACGGTCTTCATGATATCTATAGTACTCATTTTTTAATAAGGAGTTTTTCTAAAACAAATTTCATAAAGAACAATCTATTTATTTTATAAAAAATACATATATATATATAGAAATATAAATATATATATATATATATATATATATATATATAAATATATATTTATATATATATTTATATATAAATTATCATCAATATTTTATACTCCATATGAATACACATCAGCTTTTGTTGTATATTGTTTTTTTTCAAAAACTTCAGGAGCCATCCAATGCTTATTTTTAATAAAAAAATTAAAATAAAAAAACAAAGCAATTAATTTACAAATGTTCCCAATACAGAAGTCATAGGATCTTAAGATTAAGTTCTCGAAAGTCCGAAATCAGCAATTTTAATATTATAATTAAAAGAGTCTTCATTAAAAGGAACATCCAAAAGTAAACTATGTATATAATAAATAATACGAAAATAAAAAAATAATATACTTTAAAGATTTTAAATCTCTATGTATTATAGGAGGAGTTAAATTATGAAGATAAATCATTCCATTTGCTATATCTTTTGACATTTTAATTCTATGCAGCCATTATATATTTTTGTCTAATTGTTTATGTAATAATTAAAACATAGAACCCCCATTACACAATTCAGTAATTATATAAAAGTTGTCTACTTTTTATGTCACTCCTATTAAAGATACTAGATTTATTTATGGCTGAATTTTATTAAAGCTTATATTTCTCTTTGAAATTCTTTTTAATTCCTTTCATTCATTGAATTTACATTAATTTCTTTTATTGCTACTTCTAGTTAATTAAATAAACCTTTATATACTTTAGCTGAATGTCCTATTTTTTAATTAAAAAAAGAAATATATAAATGATAATAAAAATTTAAATACCTGATCCAATTTATTTGCCAAAAGTTAATCTATTGAAATTGATAATAATATTTTTAGGATCTTTAAATTATAAATATCATAAAAATTAAATATATAAATAAAAATAAAAAAAAATATATAAAAATATAATTGTATTTAATATATATATAATAAAAAATAATTAATACTATGCTATACTCGGTTTATTATAAATTATTTTAACTCTTGAATACTTTCACTATTATAAGAAGAAGTAGAATTATGATTATCTAATTCATTATCTTAATTATTATTATTATTGAATTCTTAAATATTTTCATTTTATTTAAAATTTTACCAATTATTTTATTATTGTTATAATTAATTAAAGTTTTATTACCATTAATTTTATTATATTTTCTCTTAAAAATTTTATTATTTATTATTATTATTATTCATTTAATTTTAGTTTTATTAATAATCGAAATTTTAAAATTTAAATTCTTAAAAAATATCGTTTTATTATTAATTTTTCATTTGAATAGTTTTTTCTATATTATTATTATTAAAATTTAATTAATATTTAAATTATTATTATTATTAGTTATATTATTAATTTTCATTTTTTTATTATTTTTGAGTATTTACATTACTAAAGTTCCAAAAATCAAAATTTTGATTTGTAGCTTAATTACTCATAGATTTTTAATTTTTTAAAGCACTAAAATTATCAAATAATTCAAAATCATTTTATTATTGATTTATTTTTTATTAATCATTAAAATAAAAATTTATAGCCGACTAACTTTTCTAATTATGGAATTATTAACTATTTTAAATATTATTCCCAATAACATCAGAAAAATCCCAAAAGTTAATATTTTTATATTATTCACTATTTAATATTTATTCATTATTAAATTATTATTAATTTAAAGTTTAATGAGCAAATGTTAATTTGTTATTTTATTCATTTTCTTCATCATAGGATTCATTCATCATACTTTTTTCTTCTTCTTTATATAAACTTTTCTTACTATTGTTTGTTTTTTTGCTATTTTCGAATTTTTTTTCTTAATTTTACTTGTCTTATAATAAATGTTAATTTTTGTTTTCTATTTCTATTTATTCATATTAATTTGCTAAATTGAAATCTTCTTAGTCTTAATCAACTAAAAGTATTCCCTAATTTTATTTTTTATTTGTTTTATTGTTTTTCTTTTCAAAACTATTAGATATACTATTTTATTTTAATTCATCTAAAAAACAAAAAAAATTCATAAAAAAAATATAAAAAATTAATATATAGATATTTAAAAAATTATATTTTAGAAAAAATACCATTTTTTAACTCTTTTTTCTTTCCTGAAAATTTAATATCTTTTTTTAAATCATCTTATATAGAAGGAATAGTAACTCCATAACTTAAAGGCAAATACAATCCAAAAATAGACTTATTATAATTTAGAAACGAAAAAATATTAAACTCTTCATTTTAAAATGATTTTAACCCCAAAACAAACTCCAAAACCTTATGATCTACTAAAATACTAACAAAGTTTTTAAAATGAGAAAATTTTTTAAAAAACTATAAACACTAATCGAATAAATTCTCATAAGAATTCTTAAATTCTTAAATTTTTCCTTCAAAAAAACACTTACTTTAATTTTATTCTAAAAAAACACTTGATTTTATAAAACAAACAAGTAAAAATGTCAGTGTACACAAAAGACAATACATTTCATCTACTAATTAGACATAAACACTCATTTGAATTTCCATTATAATATTCTAACTTAAAATCTCATTTGAAAAAACCACTAATTAATTCATATAATTTAATAAATCTTCAATTAATTACCATTTCAAAAGGTTATTATTATTATTATTATTATTTTTTCCAACATTATCTAAAAATGGTTTTAACGAGAAATTACCTTCCAAAAAACCAGAATACTAATTAGCCAAATTAATTTTTTATCTTAATCTTTATGCATACATATTAATAAGTTTAGTAGTAAAAATGGATCTAATTTTATCCTAAGAATTATCCTTAGGGTCTATATTTTACCAAACTGAAATAATTTAATTTAAAATATCATTCGATGACCCTTTTTTTTATCCATTATTTTTAAAAACTGTCTCCAAAGGGCCTTTTTTTACATAATTGTGTAATAAAATTAACGATTTTAAGCAAATTATAGTATTTTGGGTATTTTATATTGTCATAAATTATAAAAACATCTCATAAAATTTTTAGATTTTTTCTTTTTTTTACCATGCCTTAATAATTAATTTCTGAATAAAATTTTAATTTGGTTCTTCTTAATTTTCCTATAGAGTAGCCAAAAGCCATCCTTTAGTACTTTTATTATACATAAATATCATCAATTTAGAAATCGTATTTTATTTAATTTCTATTTCTTATATATTCTTGAATATATTATTATCTAATAATCCTGTATTAGTTTAAGGTATTTTCAAGTCTTGCCAACAACTCAATATGAACTATAACAAAACTAGAGGTTTTGGTCTAAAAAATGGATTAGGAGTTAAAAGTTTTTGAATTAAAGTTTATAAGTTTTTACTATATTTCGGAAAATCCGGTAATTCGATTTATTTATTGCAATTTTCCACACTATAGACATTAAAAGGGTTCTTATTATAACATAAAATATATAAAATTACTCCCACAGCATATACATCGACCATCTCATTTATTGGATAACCTAAGTTTAAATAAAGTTATTCAGGAGCACGGAAACCTTCGCTGGAATTCTTGGATATTTCTTAATCTACAGAGGCAAATTCATCACTGGAAATCGATTAATATTAATGTGTAGTTACGTTTTGGAAATTTCCTATTTTATAATTGTTATCTTCCCCAAATAATATATTTTTCATGTTTATATTACGATGGATTAAAGGGTTGGGTCGAGTTTATAAAAAGTAAAGGCCTTATAGAATATCACGACCTATTCTGATTATTTGAATTTCCTTCATGGCGTATTAAGGTAATTTATCAAATATTTACTATAATGAACCTTTTGGACAATATTCTAATATTAATACACATAATTCGTTATCTTTTATTTATTAACGAAAAGCTGCTTTTGTTTCTAATAGGTTTGGATGATAATTTTCACTTTTTTTTTTATTTATAATTATTAATTTATTTATTTATTTATTTTACTTTTGTTTTAATAATGGTATTAATGTTTTTTCTTCTTTTATTTTTGTCCATGCAAATACTTCTTATTGGTAATATTAATTCATTAATTCAATGTTTGAGTCTGATAATTTCACTACTATTTAGGGACTTTCTATTACTGTGTAAAAATAGCAGTTCAGTTACGATTCGAAGTATTAGACTTCCTCTTTTAATGTATATTTTATATTATATATTTAACTTTTTATTATTTGCTTTTTGAATTTATTTTGTTTCATTATTTTTTTTTTTTTAAAGTTGAGTTATTTTTATTTTATATATTTATTAATTTTTTTTTTTTGCTTCTTTTTTTTTTTTTTTCGACTTAAATTGAAAATAATACACTAAATAAATAATTTTATGCTTTTTTTTTTTAATAATTAAAAATAATTTTTTATAAAAATTTCAATGAATTATATATAAAAATTGTTTTTTTAAATATAATTTTTTTTTAAAAAAAAAAAAAATATTAATCAAAACTAATTCTAAAGAAAATATTGATAAAATTAAAAAATAAAAAAATATTAATATAAAAAATAAAAATATGTACTTATTTATAGATATAATATTATTTAAATCTAAAAATTATAAAAAATATGAATAAATTATATAAATAGTGTATAAAATTATCAATTTTATATATATATTTTTGTTGTTGCAATAATTAATCGTACTATTATAGTTAAAAACTAAAATACTTATAATTTTAAAATATAAATGAATTAAAAAAAAAAAAGCAAATATATTTTATAAAATAAATAATATTATTTAATAAAAAATATAAACAAAATTATCATTTTTTATTTCCTTAAAAATATAATCAAATATATATAAAGGAATATATATAAATAAAAAATAAAATAATTTTTTTTTTAAAATTAGCCAAGCAAAAGGAAGTAAATAATAAATTATAAATGAAAAATATTTAAAAGCGATTATTATTATATAAATATAGTATATAAATAAAAAATTATTTTTTATAAAAAAACAACAAAAATAGTAATTATTATGTTTATAAATCTAATATGAATAATATAATATAAGTTATTAAAAATTAATTATATATAAAAATTGTATGTAATTTAAAAAATTAAATAAACATCAATTTAACATTTATAATATTTATATTAAAAAAATAAGTATATATTTATAAATATATAATATATGTAATTTTAAAAATAAAAAATAAAATAAAATAAAATATATTTATTATAAAATATTTATTAAATAAATGTAAAAAAATATATAAATAAAAAAATAAAACTTATATTATAGTATTTAATATAATTAGTTAAATTTTTTTATTTTATCTATAAAAATAAAGATAAATCATATGTTTCTTCTAAGACAATAAAGATTAGTATCTCTATGTAAACTTTAAATAGATATATATTTTTCTTAATATTCACTATCTAATTAAAAATAAATAAAAAAAATTATATAAATTTATTACTATTTTTCAAATTTTAATCTTAATCAAATAATTTTTTCCCTTAAAAGCTAATGTTATTAGTCATAAATCCAGAAATATTTGTTTTTTAATTAACTATAATAGGATCATTATTAAAATAAGGTTTATTATTATTTTAAAATTAAATATTATTAAAAAATGACTAATAAATAGTTTTGTTTTATTAAGACTATTTATTATATAATATATATTATTTAAAATAATAAATATAAAATAAAAAAATATATATTATATATTATATATTATATATATATATATATATAATTTTATAATTTTATATATTTTATATATTTATATAATTTATAATATACATTAATAGAAGGGTGATTTTAAGGCATTGTTTATGCTCCATATTTATGTGTAGTCGCATTCAAACTTTTATCAATAAATTCTTTAAAATATTTTTTTATTATAAAATTAATTTTTTTTCTTTTTTACTATGTTTTTTATAATTATGTCCAGTAGAACTTAATTTATATGGATTTTCTTTTCCATAATTTTCATTTAAAACTACTTGCGCAGATCTTGCAAATGTTTATCCGAAAATATTATTTGATTTTATTTGAGGAATAAAACCTTAATAGCCTTGAATACATTATTTAGATTCATTTTGCTTTTATATATATATTTAATATAAAGTTATACTTTTTTAAATTTTTTTTACATTTTATTTAGTCTATTCATTTATTTTTTTATATTAATAATCTTTTGACCAACTGTAGAATTTTTCTGGAGCAATATTTTGCATTTTTTTTGTATTTTTTTTTGTATTATAAAATTTATTAAAATTATATTTTTATTTAATATAATTTTTATATTATTTTTTCTTTTAATATTTTATTATTTACCATTAAAAGTTATTTATTTTTAAAAATAAAATTTATTTTCATATTTTTATTAAAAATTATTTTTAATTAAATTTTTTATACAATTTATTAATTATAAATAAATAGGAAATCAATTATTTTATATTTTTAGAATTATTAATTTAATTATCTCTTTAATTATTTAAATTATTTTTTTTATTTTTTGAAGATATTATAATTAAGTTATCATCAATATTTTTTTTTTTGAATTATTTTTCTTAATTACTTAATCTTATTACAATTTCTCAGTTTAAATACTTTAAGATGATTTTGTTCTTTATTTTTCTATTTAAATTATATAAAATTTATTAAATTTTATGTTTATTAGATTCCTTGAGTAACTGTGCTTATAAAATCTAAATTACTATTTTTATTTATTAAATTTTAAATATTTTAAAGGACAAATACAGGTTTTAAGTTATTTTCTTTAGAGAAATTATAAATTATTTAGTAGCTTTTATTTTTTTAGTTTATATCTAAAATTTATATTAGACTATCAAGTTTTGTCCTGAATAAATTTTGTTCGTGATTTTATAAAAATTATAGTATGTTCATTAAGAAAAAAATTCCATTTATTTTTTTATTTATAATATTTTAAATAAAAAATTTATTTTATTTAAAAATTTCTATCAATTTTTAGTTAAAATTTTAATCGAAAAATTAATTAAATTAAATTTCGTTTATAATAAACTCAATATCTAAAATATTTTAATTATTTTTTAAAACTTCATATTAAAAACTAACCAAAAAATTCTAAAATTAATATAGAATTCTTAAATTTTTATAACTAGGATTTTAATAATTTAAAATACCAAATAAATATGCAAAATACTAACAAAATAATGTATTATTAGACTTTAAAACTTCAATTATTTATATCAAATTTTAAGCACTTTTATTTATGTCAAATTAATTTTTTTTAAACAGATAATTTATTAATTATTCACTTGGATTTTCACTTTTTAAATTTAAATTTAAAATCTAATTATAAAAATAAGATAACTCTTCGTATGTTTCTTTTTCATTTATTTAATCTTTTTACATTAAAAAGTTTTTTTAGCTACTTAAAAAAAAACTAAAAGGATGTGAGCCTAATAATCTAATATTATATATATATAATTATATATATATATAATATATATATATATATATATATATATATATATTATACTTTTAAATATACTATTATATATATAAACATTTTTTAAATACCTTAAATCAAAATTTATTTTTTTAATTTCATGAAATTAATTATTTTTTGAATAAATTTAATATGGACTTAAATTATATGTAAAATTATCAATTAATGTATTAGAAATATTAATTAATTATTATTAATTTAATTTAATATTTTATAAGGTTGCAAATTCTTATTTTTTAATATAATTTTTAAACTCAATAGTTTTATCTGTTAAATTTTTTAATAATAAAGGCTGATTTTCATGACTTTAAAAATCTTTTATATATTATATTTATTCATTTAGACTATGTTTTAATCCATTTATTTCTTCTATTTTTTATTAAATGTTTTATTTTAATTTATTCTATATAAGTTTATTTAATTATTATTATTAAATATTTTATTTTTTTATATATAGTATTTTAATTCTTAATTATTTAATTGTATTAATAGATTCGTCTTATCTAAGTAAACTTTCATATTAGATTTTATTTTTTATTCTTAAATCGATTTAGTCCATGAAAAAAATGAAAAACTTTTAAAGTCCTTCACAAAAAAAGGCCAAATTATTATCAAATTTATTCATTTTTCGAATTATCGATGGCATCATTTCAACTATAATTTTTACGCTTTTTATTATAAGTGAATCATGAAAATTATTTTCTAATATAGGATTAATAATTTCTTAATCTAATTTATTTAAAATCCCAAAAAGTACCTATATTGTCTCATTGTTTAATAAATTAGAAAATTACATTTAATCTTTTTGTAAGTTATTTTATATTAAAAGTACTTCCATAAATTACTTAATATCTGGGTTTACAAAATTTAATTATTTTATAATTTTTTCGTGGTTTTTTATTAAATTATTATTTTTTATATAATCACATAAATATATATTTTATTACTATTATTAGGGTATATTGGTAAATTAATGTTTAGAATTTATTAATCTGGTACTACATTCAGCCTATATTTACTATATTATGGCTTTTTTAGGATCATAAAATGAAGATTGAACACTTTTTGTGGTATATATAGCCCTTTTTTCCCTTTATTCTGCTATTTTTTTTTACTTTATTAGTTATCGGGAAGGTTTAATGAAGGAATTCTTTTGATTTTTATAAGCTTTTAGCTCATTTTAAATTTTTATTGTTTGGTTTTTAATTTTTTTGTTTCCTTTTTTTGTTTTAATTTTTAAGTTATAAAAAATTAAAATGTAAATATTAACCAACAAAATGTTTTTTTTTAAAAAATGATATATATATTTATACTATTTTTAATTTTTATTTACAGAATTTTCATTAAAATCATAAATTAAATATTAATATTTTTTATTAATTTCTTAAAACAATATATTTATTATTATAAACTATAAATTTTTATAAAAAAACTTAATATTAAATATAACGCATTATATTAATTAAATAATAATAATTATAAAAAAATAATATAATATCCTTAATAAGAAAACAAGAGTAATCATTCTTTTTATAAATATCTATATTATCATTTTTTATGTATTCCCAAAAAAAGAAGTTTAATATTATATTAATTCTTTCTTATTTTTGTTAAATTCTTATATTAATATGGTTTAAGGTTAATTTTTATTTTAATATAATACTCGAAAAAAAAGAAATAAAGGAAAATTTCTATATAAATGAATATATTACTAGTTCAAAAACAATAAACCTGGGTTATCACAGTTAATATTAACTATCAAATAGTCCGAAAATATAAAAATAATACAT